GTGAACACGTGCTGAGCTTTCGTCCGTCATATGACGGACATCATCAGAGCGAGGTAACATCCTCACAACATAATTCAGGCTTGCGAGTCAAGAAAACTGACCTTCGAATATCTTCACCCAACACTTCTACTCGAAATGGAAGTAATTCCAACACTCGACCCCTGCCACCCCATCTGGGCCAACTTGAGGTGTTATTAGCCCTACCCTGGGTCTGGGTGACTCATCGACCCCTGCCACCCCATCTGTGCCAACTTGAGGCGTTATTGGCCCTACCCTGCGTCTGGGTGACTACTTCGAGGCTTAAGCCTCTGAGTAAGTGTCATAGTCAGACCTTTGCCACATGGACCACGTCTCTTATAAAAAACTACTGTCAGCCCACTAGCTTCCATCGCCGCCGCGTCTATCCTATTTCTATCTCTAATACTAAGTCTATGACTTCGCATACCCTAGTCTCTTGTGTGCCAACGCATAAATGTTGTGGTTATGCTTGCTTTGACTCGGTTTAAGGTTGAACCACAACGTTTGTGGGTTGGCACACACTTTACATGTTTGAAAATGAATGAAATTAACTTCCCGAACTGTAAATACATTAGCTGGCAGCTGTTTCATCACACAAAAACTAGCGTACGATCACTTAATATAATTCAGCATTAGGCGATCGTACGCTAATTTTTGTGTGATGAAACAGCTGACAGCGAATGCATTTCCAGTTTGGGAAGTTAATTTCACTCATTTGCAAGCCGGCCACCTTATTCTCTTGGTTTATAATATATTTGCTATATTGCGTAAAGTAGGTAATCTTGCTCCGGTGATGTCTGTCACAGTAAAGACGAGAGCTTAGCACAGTTTCATTGGGGTCGCAGGACGGTGAGCCGAGGACTTCTTTGCACAATTCAACATTCTTCCTCACGCGATAATCCTCCTTCCCTTTTTGATCAGACCACATCACGAATCCCTTCGAAATTGATATCACGAAATAGAGTGAATACTTCTCAAGAGTTATGAAAAGTAATAAACGCTAGATTTATCTTATATTCTACTAAAAGTAGTAAAACCTATTTATGTAAAATACATCTACAAAATAATTATTTTTTCACAATATCTGATTCAACCTAGGTAACAGAGATGATAAAGGGCTTATAACTAAATTTTCCCACAATAATCTAAGTAGACCTGGCGAATGTTATAGCTTTGCTTTTTAAGAGGTATTCTTCCTCTATTCATCGACGTCTTCTTGTAAATGTGTTTCAACAAATCTGATAACATTAAATTATCATTTCTCGTAAATGAATAGGTTATCGAGACTACCAGTATCGAGCTTGCATGCTGCACTGCCATGGTTCAACTCCAACTTGGGGTGTTGATAACTGCAGCCCTCCTTGAATGAGAACACCATTTTGGGATAGCAAAACTATGTGAAATTCAATATCATATTCATAGCATTATGGAAAAATTCAACTACCAGTCCTTCATTACTTTAAACGAAATAGGATGAATACACCTCATATAACTGACTTACTGGTAGTCTCGAAACAGTTTATATACAAAAAATAATTAATATATTCCGTCCTGATAAGAAACTATAAAATTTGTACAAAATAAAATTATACCGATAAAAACTGCGATATCTTCAATTTGGTTACCTCATAGAAGTTGCAAATATTTAACCTCTAATGCACGCTTTTATGTGCATAAAATAGGAAGAAGCATAAATTCGCCAGCGATAAGATATCGAAGGTAGGTTTGATAAAATCTATATGGCTGCATGCTTGGTGAATTTTATGAAAAATTGGTTTCACGTTTAAACAATGTGACACAAACGTGGCATAAATAGCCGCTTCTAAATTGGTTCACATTATCAGGCATCTATAACAGAGGAGAATGTGAAGTAAATTTGTCCAGCATATCCAAGACAATGTTTGAAGATTTTGTCAAATAATCTTGTATACTGCATGTAATATGTAAATGTAAGTCTAGAAGCCCGTGTAGTGGGTCTCGAACGGATAACAATGCTCCTCGCTATGTTAGATAATGAGTTAAGCGTTTTACACCAGATAATTGGGGGAAAACAATTAAATATAACGGATATATTTGCAATTATAACCTTATCAAAGCATTACTCTATTCGATTTTTTTCTCGTAGTATGTCGGTGCTCAATGCTTGGAGGCGATTCTACCTATCCTACGAGAGAAAGACATGTGGAGCCCGGAACTCGAAACCACATGGAAGACAGCTCTTCAATATCTAAACTCTCGAATTCAGGCCGGTATGGCGCAATCGAGAGTCTCAGTACCGTCCAAGAGGACAGATGACCGAACGGCGGCAATAGAATCTGGCAATAACAGCAGTAGCGTCGTCACAATAAGCATTCCGTTGGAAATGGTCGAGAAAAACTCAAGTCCTAGCGGAGTTACGCCCGAGAGGCCAATTACAAAGCTAGGCTCTGCAGAAAATAAACCAGAGGAGTCAAATGCCATAGTGATGTCGGAAGCATCACTTCCAAATGAGAGATCTCAGCAAGAGCCCTCAGCAACGGCCAGGAGAACTCTTTAGAACCAGTTCCCGGTGACCAGAACAATGATTTTGGGAGAAAGTATTCATCCAAACTATTTATAGGCTAAATTCTGTATCGATCAGATGCTCTCTATCGACAATTTACCCCTTACCTTACCTAAAGAGCAAATTTTTATTTATGGTATGGTGCATGTTGGAGGACATGAGAATTTGCTGTGAGAGCCGATTCCGATGCCTCGGCAATCGCCTTTTTATTTTAGCACGTGAATGTCTACCGGTGAGACAGACACTCGGTATTTTCGGCGTTGATAACAGTCTTGCTTCGCAGCAGTCAAGAGCCAGATTGTTAAAGCGAACCAGTTTCAATTAGGTTCTCTATTTCACTGATACTGACTCTGCCGATAATGAGCAAAATTCTGATTTTCGAAACA